GTTTTTTTTTTTTTTTTTTTATTAGCTTTCAATACAAATAATATATATTATAATAGCTTAACAATTAAGAAAATTAACAATTAAATAAAAAAAGAAAAAAATAAATAAAAATATAGTACAATAGATCTTACATCAACAAAATTACAATAAAGTTACAGCAAAAATAGTTAAATAAAAAAACCAGCTGAATGAATGAAAGAAATTACATCTAGAGAATTTGAGTTAAGAATAGTGTAACAATTAATAGAAGAGATATTATGATGAGATAAATAATTAAATAAAATAGAACGATTTCTTACAAAAGCACAGCAGTCGAAGATTATATGAGGAAAATCGCAGAGCACTTCATCGTCATGTTTGGAACAGAAAGGAAAATTGTTAAGGGACATTTTGTATGCATGAAAAGGAAGGCGATTATAACCAAGTCTTAACCGAGAAAAGGGATAATATATGGAACCGGGAGAGAGGAAGTTTTTGGAACCAAGGATGATTAGGAATAGTTAGTGAAATTGATTTGTGCCAAGCTGCGATAAGAGAGAAAGGAGAAGACCAATATTCTTGCCATGCTTGAAATATCGTCTTACTAAGGGGTGATAGAGGTCAGATGAAGGAATATTGAGGGTTGGAGGACGGGTAATGAATTTGATAAGTTTGGCTAAATGGTCAGCCTCGTCTTTACCAAAAATACCAACATGATTAGGACACCATAAAAATTCGATTTTTGTATTAGCTAAGAAAAGATTATAAATTAACGCTTTTATTTTAATAATAAGGAAAGATCTGCATTTTTTGAATGAATTAGAAGAGAGAGAAGAAAGGACTGATAAAGAGTCAGTAATTATTAAAACATTAAAAATATTGAAGGATTGAATAAGCTCAAGGGTCGTATATATAGCATAGCACTCAGTAGTGAAAGAATAAGATTGTGAAGGGAGATATCTGAGAATTTAATTTTAAGACTATTTATTCCTAGTCTTAAAATTAAATTCTCTAGTGAAACTAGAGCTTACTGAATCATCAGTAAATATAAGACAATAATTGGAGAAATTAGAGAATAAGAACTCATTGAATAGATTAATAACAAAATTAATAGAGAGAGATTGCAATTGCAGTTTTGAATAAGAAAGAAAGTGATGGTTAAAGTGAATAGGTGGCCAATAAATAAGAGCCTGGAAGGAGACATCATAAATAGGCAAGCGATTAAAAAACGTGATTACAGTATTAAGGTACGGAGTCAGAGTCGAAGAGATTGAAGCAAGTAAAGGAAGAGTTTTGGGAACATAGCGCCAAACTGCGCATAGAGAATAAAAACTATGAATTATTGAGTTGACTGAATAGGATAACTGTATAACACGTTTTAGAACATTTTATTTGTAACTTATAAATATAATTTTTAAAAACATATCAAAAAAGAGACAATATAAATTCGTTTTTAATTGTTCTATGAGGATATACGATAAATTATGTTTGCATTAAAAACTTTTTAAGCCAATAATTCCTTAAACGTTTTAAATATCAATTACATACAAGTGCCTTTAAAAAATAATGCTATGATAACATAAGACGATGATTTTTTTTACAAATTTCAAATATACATTATAAGTTGTAATAAAATAATAAATTAATAGAAAACTAATAATATATTGTTTTAATAATGATGACGAAAATATTATACATTAATATAATAGGACTTCAATTTATAAAGTACGTGTATGATATAAACTTACATGAAAAAATAATTGGTCAAAATATTTGTTTTCTTTTTAATTTGTGCAAAATAACTAATAGACATAATGAAAATAAATTTGATTTTTGATTATATTCAATTATTCACTATAAAATATCCAAAATAGTATTACGAATTTCTTACGAATAATTAATGTTCTAAGAAATAAGAATTTCAGAGAGAAGTTCTTGAGACAAAGATAAAACGACAGTGTTTGAAATTATTCTAGATAATGAAATTTCTTTCTAAGCCAATACATTAAACTTTCTAGAAGTATTATAAGTGGTGTATTGCGGTGATGATATATCTCTTTCTCATTTTATAACATAGTCAAAAAGTATATTTTACAAAATAATGCAAACAAATAAAACTATGCAAATTTCAAAATATAGTTATAAAAATTGTATATATATATATATATATATGTATGTCATATATGACTCCATTTTTGGTTTACTATAAAACTAAAATAAAACATGAACAACAAAAGAATAGAATAGAAGTGATGAGGCAATTTGATATTCATAAGCTTTAATTAAATCTTTTAAAGAAAGTATTCACAACAAAAACTTGAAATTTAATAACAAATACTATTCGATATATTGAAACTGATTGGTAAAAAGCTCATTAATAATATTAATTATTTTAAGAATTAATAAATAATTATAAAAATTAAAGTGTCTCACTTTTGATTGCGGTACATTCCATTAAATGCTTACTGCTTTTACATTACATTTTTTATTATAAACATGAGAGAACTTAATATATTTTTAATTCTTTTATTTTTTTTGGGAAAGGAACTCCCGTAAAAATGATGTTAAACAGATAATTTATTAATTATAACTGACTTTTAAATGGATGGTCTATAAATAGAGTTCAAAATAATACACCAGCATTTCATTAATTACAAAATATTGACTCCGAAAAAAGAAAATATTTTATAAATTTTATAATATAAAATTATTTATAGTAATTGAATCAATAAATAAATTATGTGTAGTTATTTCAATGTATTTCAATGAACTTAAGTTTAGTCTAAATTACGTAAGCCCAAATGCAAAATCAAAGCTTCTGAATTTACTTGAGGGTATATTATCCAGAAGTTTTGATTAAGAGTCATCAGTTTATATTTGCTTTAAGTTTCTATATAGTCAAGTATAGATTTTAGAATTACAAAAGGCTTATAATTAAAAAGTACCTTTCATAAATTCATTGTTTATTTGCATAATTTAACCACTTGCTAGTATTATAGAAATATTTTGTTTAACTAAATTTTCAATTGTTGTCAATAATATAATGTTTTTAATGGTCCTTCTACTACATTGTCAACATCAAATTAGTATCCCACAAAAATTGTATTGAAGCTTTCGCGGCTTGAAATGTAAATAAACAAACGAAATTGATGAGAGTTCGTTGGAACTGTATATTTTAAGTTCTGGAACATTTAATCACAATTTAATAAAGATTTTAAATAATTTTATACTAATTTTTGTTTGATATTGATAAATAAAAGGTTCAAAAAGAGTTATAAGCGATTAAGTGGCGGATTTACAAGGGTTCTAGACCCTTCAAATTTTTACTTTAACTATTATATCGTTTAATCTGATTGTAACAAGTTAGAAGTTTTTGTAAGACAAAATATATAATTTAAGTCCTACTGCAATTTCATAAATTATGATAAATTATCATTAATTGTTCATTCGTTAAAAACTTCAATTTTAAACTTAAAAAATTAAATATCCCAGTATAATGATTAAAAAAAAAAATCTGACTATCTTCATTATAAAATTTAATTTTAAAAACATCCTCTTTAAGAAAATAACGTAACTATATTGATTAGGATTTATAAACTTTAAATATTAGACAATAAACTATAACACTGAAATCAAAAATCTAAATTTTATGAGCTGCTACAGTTTTTAACTAGGCGTCAATATAATAATAAATTTAAATTACTGAGTTAGCTATACATATTATTTTATATTATTACTATAGAGAATTTTACAGAGATCAAATTTTTATTAATTTTAAAGTTAATGTGACATTAACTTATAATAATAACTAATAAGCTTATACGTGTGACATTAAAAAATAAATTAATAAACAACTTTTAAAAATGAAAAACTTTGAACTGTTCATTTATCGGTAAGGTCTATTGTCTTTGTTAGAATTCATCCCAGTTCTACTTAAATAAGCTTTTGTGTAATATAGTTTAAAAATGTATCGTAAAGTTTCTAAACAGAGAGAATAAATCACACATTTAAGTACTAACTATGTGAAAATAGTAAAAGAATATTTGAAGCGATACTAATTGTAATGTTTTAATTGAAATAATACGAAGTCATTAAATAAAGATACAAGAGTATTTTAAAACAAGTATACTTTAAAAGTTTTTTATATTTTTTTTTAACTGTGAGATGATTTATTTTTATTATTATTTTTCTGAATCATCATATTAATGCTGAAAAGTTTATTTTAGAACCTTAATAACATATTATTTTAATTATCATAAAAACAAACTTCAAATAGTATTAACATTCAGTAAAATGGCGTGAGAGAAAAAATAGGTTTCCGTTTTATCAAATATCTAATTGATTATTCAACATTGCATAAATTTTTAATCCATTAAAAATGAAATTTCAAAGTCATTTGAAATCTTGAATTTTAAAATATTGAAAAATCAAAGTTATTTTTTGAATACATATGTAACTCATCAAAAATATTTATATTATACAAAAGATTTTAAAGTGTAATTCTTAAAAAAATGATTGGATATTAAAACTTATATTATTTTACTAGTATGCATAATTACAGTTATAGTGCTATAAAATTCATGTTAAACTACTATTATACCAATGCAATAAATGATAGAAGTTTACACAAAGCGTATGAACTTCAATCAAGGGTGTATTTAAAAATTCATAATGGGGCGGGCACATAAAAATGTTCAATTGAAAAGTCACCATGAACATTTTTTTTACTCATTTTGAGCAGATTATGAGAAAAAAATAAAAGGTTTACAGTGATTTTTATATCATCATTATACGGTCAATGGGGGGGGGTCGTTACCATGCGTTAAACTGTATTTATCAAAATAACCATAAGTACCAACTGACTAACAATCAATTATAAATGGAAATTCAACAAACATTAAAACAATAAAATCCATATAAATTATATTTATAACTATTGTTATTTAAAATTAAAAAAATATTTAACTTAAATCGCTACTAAAGGTATTAGAAAACCATGTATACGTATTTCGGGAACAATGTTACGGTCATTAGCACAGTAAACACATACTAACATAATGCATAAACATCATTATTATTTTAAAAAATAAATTAAAGTAAGAATAAATATTTCAATGAAAATAATTTTTGCATTAAAGGAAAACATATCATGAAAAATTTGTTCAACAATCAAAGACAATGAATAAAAATGAGTACAAGTTTAAATAAATGAACAAAATATAATATTTAGTCAATTAAAAGTGAAGTGCACTCATTTTTTTCTTTATGCATTACATTGATAATTTGACTTGAGTATATCATTTATTAAATAGTGTCGTCCTTGAAGTAAACCCGTATACATTGTGAATTATGACACACCGTTTAATCTAAGTACAAGTACCACCCATACATATGTACACAATATTCTATATTCGAAGGTCGGTAAAATAAAATATGATTAGTAGGAGGTTAGTACAGTAGAACACTATTAAAATAAAATCAACCGTACCCGAGCTATATGATTATGTGATTGTAAAAGAAATAATGAAAACTCACATGTTCAGTGCAGTTTTTTTATTTATTTACCCCAAAAACAATATTGTAAAGAAACACGTTTAATTAAATGACATGCATTATTTTACTGTTTTAAATAGTAATTCAATGGAACTGACCGTTTCGTTATTTTTTTTGTATCTACACATTTCAAATTCATTAATGAATATTTTTCAAAAAAAATTTTCAAAATCTCTACTTTGTTAAATTCATTGAAAAATAATATATATTACATTTATTTTTCAGATTTCTTAACAATATTATTCTAAAAAATTAGTCATGACAAAACATCCAATGACGTTCATTATTTTTTTTTTTATCGGGGCTAGGAACCGAAATGATTTGGTTTTTTACATAATTTACAACGTGTCTAGTAAGGCAGTTGACCTATATCGAATTTTTACAAGAATTTGTTAGGTTAATCGAATCGAATTCGTTATGAAATGGCTTTTAAAATCGTAATCAAACTAAAAATTTGAATATATTAAGTTTAAAAAGACGATTTTATCGATACACTTTTTTTAGATTTATTTGAGGTTTTCAATTTTGTTAAAGTTTAATTAAGTTTTCAAAAGCGGTCTCACAATATTTTTAGATTCTGTAATTACTTTTTAAACATGTACTAGAAACAAATATGCACATTATATATTTGTAACAAATATAGATAAACTAATTTACTGGGTCCAAGAAAAATTGCCGAAAACCAAAACTATTTCGGTTGCTAGCTGTGTGTTTATACATTCGAGAAAAAATAAAATTGATCGTTTTAAATTCGTGTTATGTAAATATCGTTCGCATTAGTGCCATTAAGGTCATGATGAGTTGTTGATTTCGGTATATGGTACGCATCACCAGACGGATCTCGTTTGGGGCAAAAACCTAATACTTTGCCCATGTATGACACGGCGCGAGATGTTATTAATTAATGAGACGGCAGAAAACGTATCCGTTGAATAGTTCGTGGAGGAAATCTAACAAGTGCGGCGACGGATTAAAAAACGTTTGCCAATGCTTCAGGGTGAGCGCATGACCGGGCCAGGCGCGCGCGAGGACCACCTGTCGCTATTGCCGCCGACTGCTGTTACTTCACCGAACTCTGTTCTATTGCGACGACAACGGCGGATTAGATAAACGTTGTGTGCGCGCGTGTGCTGCACAAGTACAGTCCAATCGAAGTGTGTCGCCGTCACAATTCTTATCAAGTCTACCGGCGGCAGTTACCCGTGTCGTCGTCGTCGTTGCTGCCTCCACCATTTTTTAAGTACATGTTGTGTTTTTCGGCTTGATATTATTCGCGTTCGGTTCAACGTTTTTTTGTTAATGTTCACTCGGTAACACTTTCCCCCTCTCCCAGTTTCCAACACGACCGCCGTCACTGATAGTTCGGTGTTCACGTGTATCGATAGACACGGCTGTGTAATTGGAATTTTTTTATTTTGAATTTATTTACAAGTCCGTCGGTCTACACCGGTCCTCGAGTGGCTGCAGTCGACGGCCAACAACCACCCGACACGCATTACAGGTATCGTTACTTACCATTCAAATAAATTCTCGTGTTGACATTCATCAAATATATAATGATGTTGTGTTGAGCCTCAAAAAATCTCTAATCATTCACTCTCGTCCGTTCGACATTTGAAAACCGAGTGGGTATCGGTTTAGTCGCCTTTATTGGTTTTCTTTTCACGCGAGTTGTTGCCATCGCATAAGACCATCAAAGATTTTCTTCGGACGAGCATCAGCCACTTGTATGTTATTCTACAGACTTTTAATATATTTAAAAGCTCGTTTTACATTACTTATGAATGTTTGTTACTTATTTAGTGCTTCAAACGCAATTGGTTAACCGAGATGATTGAATAACTGAACGTTTTTAGATTAGAACTGATGCTCGTCCGGTTTTTTTTATTTCAAACTAGTTGATAAATTACGGTCGCAATCTTTTTTTATACTCGCGGCAATAAAATAACAGGCCCAAGTTTTATATGACCCATTGATATGCTAATTAACTCATATAAAACGCAAATAAAGTTATATAAACGTCTACTAGATTATAAAATAAAATTCAATACTTGCTCGATAAATGCTAAAGTTTATATTGTCTGTCATAATAATATTTTACATAAAATAAAAGTATAAAAAATATTTTTTTTCGTTATCTTACGACCTTCCAAACATATATCTAAAGGAATTATGAGAAACTAATTTTGAAAACACGATGTTGCAAGGGTTCTATCTTATGATACTTACGTTAAAAGAAATACCACGAGAGGAGGCACCAATCAATTTCATTTTACCTGTAATTGAGGCACAACTGACACTAATGCTTCCTATTTCATAAGTTTAAAAAAAATATGCTTTGCTTCCAAATGAAAACACGGCGATAGCTGACGCGCGTATTCTCTAACTACGTGACTATTAATCGCATTATGACATTATAATCACAAGTGCCGTCACACAGTTTTAAGTTATGACAAATATTGCCGAGTTTAACTTAGAATACAGTTATTTTAATACAATTGTAATGTAATGTTATTACATACATATATATATATATATATATATATATATATAGCTATTAAATATTAACAATCATTCATTATCTTAATACTAATTTTAATTACAACGAATATTTTGTAATTACGAACGCAACATGGAGCAATCGACTGCGCTTCAGAAAAAAATAAATCGTTAAGAATTATTTAGGCAATATTAGAATCGGTGTTGAGATATAAAATTTAACTGTATTTTACTTTTGAAGTAATTTCGAGGATGCATGAAATATAATTACAACACACCTATTATGTGCGTGGCAAAATATTTTTGCTCGACATTATTATTATTTTTCTGTCAAAAACATTTCACAGCGGGTTATCCAGTACTAAGCATAAATTCAAGACACAGAATTCCATTCATTTGTCTCGAATAAAAGTAATCTAATAAATTCAGTAGTTTTATGTGTCTTAACGTTGAAATTCAATTTGTTGGCGTAATAAATGATGATAAATTTGAAATACCTAGGTGATAAAGTAATTACAGTTTTAAGTGCTCGTGAAAATTGCCATTCGCATTGCTTTCAACTCTTTATTGATAATTATTGCGATGCATTAAAATTACTTACTGACAACAGCAAGTGTTGTTTTATTACAATGACATAAAATGGTGTAAAATGAATGAAGCGCGTGAGTGCCTAAAAATATAATTTATAACTACCGTGTTGTAATGCGGTAGTGACGGCAAATCTACACGTTGTGAAGGTACCGTAAGTGTGATTAATTAAAAAAATATATAAAATAAAAACTTCACCGTTCACGACTTTCGAGATTTCCCACTTGCCAGTTTTACGTTGCCATTGTAACATATACACATGCTCAACTATTTCGTTTGATGTTCGATGAGTTTTATTTTTAGCAAGAGCCATGCAAGCAAAATATTTTCAAGGACTCTTCATTGCGTTTTATTAGGTAGAGAATCATAAGGCACTTCGGACGGCATACATTATTCATCTCTTTCTGGGCAAAGCAGCTTGCACCACTAACTATTTAGATTACGTTGTTGTTATACTATTAATCTGTTGTGCTCTTCCGTAAATGCCTTTAAATCGGATTTGGTACCGAATATCTTGGCTTGTTTTTTTGGGTCCAGTAATCTGAATTTATCCTGAATAACTCTGCATAATCATTTAGATATTAGATATTACTTTCATTGAATTCATCATTAAAGTATCAGGCGCAACTGGTGAAAAACATCGATTTTTCTGTGTATTTTATTAATTTATTCTGATTTTGAGTTTGGAAATAAATTATTAATGAAAAACATTGCTTTCTTGTAATTTACAACGCTCAATAAATGTCTTGTCGTTCGTTTTACTTTGGCTTCATGATGAGAAATTGGGTTTTGTATTACATGGTCAATCGGATCGTTTTAATTTTGATACAGGGACTTACATGTAGTTTTCGCTGATTTGCGGTAAATTTTTTAATATATAATATATTATATAGACACTGAGAATCTACTAATTGAACGGATGTTGCAACAAAGTCCATACAATTGTTCGAGACGCAAGGATATTGTGTTTATAAATATGGTTAATTAAATTTAATAGACTAGATATTTTTTAGACTATTTTCTGAAAATTATAATATTGTTAAGTATACATTTTCTGTTTTATTGTTTAATTTGTATGTACGTGAAAGAGTTCGAAGAAAGGGAAACTTTTCGAAATTCGCATTGTTAGTAATCATAACGAAAGCAACTTCATTGAGTTGAATGATGTTTGCTATAAAGGTGCTCACACACAAGGTTTTTAACCGCACGCAATTTTAAAAAATTGATCTTTATTTAGAGCTGCATGCGGTTAAAAAAATAATTCGTAAGTATCTTAATTATGCGAAAGAAATAACAGTATTGTCTATGAATATTTGACTCAAAAATTATGATAACTGTGCTAATCAATGAAAATTATGTATTTTTTAATTTTAAAGTATTTAAATTCAGCTCTTTGATTATTTATTATATTTATAATTCCAAACAATAATACACATGCATATGTGTTAAATTATTTTTTTTTTATAGACATGTTGATATAATTTCAATTCTACAGTTATTTTTGTACTTAACTGTAATAGATCCACTGAAACTGCTATGTTTGGACGTGCACTTTAAAATACTCAGATCAATTGAATTGAGGCGTTTGAATTATTATAATCGACTCAAGACTTAAAATATAGTAAGCATTATTAAGATTCATTGATGCTTTTACTATTCTAGTAGAATTCGAACATTTTTATAAATAAAACATTACCTTAATATATATTTAACTTTCATGGACCCGAGAAAAAAACTGGAAATTTTTAACTAGTATAAATAACACAAATGATGGCAAACAACAATAATAAAAATATATGCATTTCTACAAAATTTCATGGCTAACACGTGATGTTTTGACGAACAGAGTACTAATTTCCTCTGTACTCATGTGAATTCTAAAGGATAATTGTACCTTATTATTCTAATAATACTTCCAAGTGTGATCTTCGTCACATCAATGATTCATGTTGTGTGTATTTCCCATGCTATGGTTATTATTAATAATAATAACAGCAACCATAAAATTACAAAAATAAATTATTTTTGTACTTATATAATGTCTTCATGAGTTTCTTTTATATTTATCAAATAATAAATACTACTGTTTTGCGAAATAATGAAGTGGTATTTTTAAAATAGCTTTATACTGAACAACATTCCGTGATAAAACTATTTTATTCCTAGAAATGTCATTTCAATTTGTTGACTCTTCGACAGCACAGCTTTCATCATTTTTTTTTTACTTTTTATGGATTGTTATCATATATTCGGATTAGCAGCTTACATCTGTAATGTCAGCTCATTTTTTCGTTTTTTATTGAGAATCTAAGTAAAATAAGTGCCCTGTATCTTTCATTCTAGTCTTAAAAATTCATCTAATTAGAAGAATATAAAAACAAGAGTATTCGTCTGCAAAACTGGCTAAAAATATAAATTGGACCAATTATTACTGAAGATAACTGTCATATTACAAATTTTTTGGTTGGTTTTTTCTTAATGAGCGCTAAAACAAATTTAAAGAAGTTACTTTATAATACATAATTTTTTTTAGTTAACTGCAAAAAATGTCCGATTAGATGACATAATTTTTGTTATTTAATAACCAAATTTTAGCTTCGATGCGAAGCTGAGAAGGTATTGGTTTTACTAAGATGTGTTTTTTTTTTTTTTTTTTTTGTGACTTACCACTTTTTCTCAGCTCTCACCGAACCAATTTCTTTCAATGATACGTCAAAAGATCACAAATTGTATCTAGTCGAAGACATTACCCTCAAAAATTGAAAAAAATGCCCTCGTTCCCCGTAAATGGGGGAAACCTCCAAAAAAATTACAAATTTAAAAATCGCTAATTTTCGAAATTTTTCCAATTTTTTTTAATTAAAAGTGCCATAACTTTTTCAAAAATGAACATATCAATATAATTCTTTTTTATATAGATGTGTAATATCATTACCTTTCGTTTGGTATATTTTTTTCATAAATTTAACCCTTAACCTGCCCACTAGGAGGGATTTAAAATGACAACTTTTTCAAAAAAAATTAACTTTTGAAAATGTTCCGGAAGGTCTGACACTTTTATATATATCTTAAATTAAAGCTAATGTAATATTCTTTATTATGCAAAAAAAAAATTTCGGACTTTATTTTATCTTCACGGTGAAAATGGCTACCAAATGCTATTTTTGTGTGAAAATTTTCGATTTTGTATTTTACATTTTTAACTTTATTATGCTATAACTTTTTGAAAAATGTATGGATCAGTACAATTTTTTCATGAGGAGTAGTATTTATATACATCTTTCATTTGACATACTGTTTTTTTAAATCCGACCATTTCCCTATATACGAGGGGGGTTCAAATCTAAAAAATGCATGTAGAAAGTAGAACTTTTTCAACTTAAATTTTGAAAGTGTTCCGGAAAGTCTGACACTTTTATATATATCTTAAATTAAAGCTAATGTAATTTACTTTATTATGCGAAAAAAAAATTTCGGACTTTATTTTATCTTCACGGTGAAAATGGCTACCGAATGCTATTTATGTGTAAAAATTTTCGATTTTGTATTTTTAATTTTTAACTTTATTATGCTATAACTTTTTGAAAAGTGTATTGATCAATATAATTTTTTTATGGGAAATACTATTTTTTAATAATCTCTTTTTCATTCGACATACTTTATCTTAATCAGGATATTAATAAGGAACTAGCAGTTTATGAAGCTTTTGGAATAGTCCACCAATTTTTAAAATTAAACACTATCTAAAGATTTGCATCGAAGCGTTTTTTTTTGATAGTGATTTTAATCACTGTCAGATATCATTATACTTGATCCATCTATACCACGTCACCACTATGCCGCGACCCCCCCGTGCTGGGTTTCTTTTCTGAATGTTCAGTTTTGAAAGAATATTAGAGGAAGGCTTAGAGGACAGTTGTTTAGAAAACGTAATGCGAATTTTCTCGATACAATTGACTATTTTTACAAAAAAAATTGTGTGTACTTCCGTATAATACATATAATTACACGTTTTACACTTAATAATAAGTGTTAACAACTATACAATCTTTGGCTACCTTCCTGGCTTTGTAGAGTAACAAAAAAAATTGTTTATGAATGTTTTTCACTATATATCAAAATAATAATTTCATAGCGTCTTTTATACATTTTTTAAATATAAATGACGTGTTTTCATTCATTTTTTATAATAAATAATATTTTACTATAAATGAAACATCAACTTTTTCTGTTGAAAATATAAATCAAAGTTTATTAAATGAAAACTCTATTATAATCACGTTTAGGTTTATTTTAAATTGTTTACAATATTTATATCGGAAGTATAAAACAACTAAAAAATATTGGTAAAAATATGACTACTGTATTCATTTGATTTATCAAAACCTGATTATTAAAATAATTTTTACTTAAATTTATCAAACCCAGAATAGAACGATTCGACTGTGTTATAAAACAATAAAGCTTTGATTAATACGTTGAATGAAATTTATAAAAGGAAACTCATAATGAATTTATAATAATGTATCTATTGCTATGGGGAAAAATGTAAAATGTAATGTTTCATGTATGAGAATAAAAAAATCTTAACCGTTTCTGTTATTTCATTTTACAATACAGTTTCATTAAAGAATCGTTAAATGTACGTGCTATTTGACTTCAAACAAAAATTAAAATAATGAAACTTTGTGAAAATGTATCTGTCTATATCTGTACAATAATGACAGAAGTACAGTATTACACAATGTTTTCAGATTCAATAACTGCTAAAGCAATTGGGTTCAAAATAATGTATTTTATTAAGTAGAGGTAGTAAAATTCAATACTTTTCATGTATATTACAAACGACCAATTCAGAAGCTCTCCGAAAATTTTATTTATTTTGTTTGTAGGGAAAAAAAACAACAAATATTGCTATATTAACAATAGTATCATGGGACTGAGTAAAAAATGTATTTTTATCGAATAAAGTCTACATTGAAAATTAGCTATATAATATTGTTGTATAAGGTTAACAAAAATACACGTGTACCTTTCATTTCATGTAGTAGATAATGATTGGTTTGGTTTTATAAACTCTGTTGTATAATTCTATATCATCTATATTCATTTATATTAACTTGTATTTTATAGTATAAACAAAATAGATTATACTTTCAATTGCGATTAATTCTGTATGAATTTGTTGTTTATTAATCTCAAAAATAATTAATTTACGAAAATAAAACAAATTATATGAACAACTTGTTTGAGTTTAAAAAAACTTTTGACATTGTTATGGCACATTAATACAATAAGGACAATCTAGTAATAAGATAAACACGTTTTACTTTTGTACTTAAACTGCTTCAATCGAAAGAATTAGCAGGCGAAAATTTAACGACAAAGATGGATGACATTGTTTTAGTTTGGAACTTAAATTAAACAAAACTGATATTTTCAATTAGATAAATGCATATTTAAGCAAATCAATTGTTTCATGACTATAGTGTTAAAAGTCACATATCTTAAGTGAAAATCAATTCATATTTAAGTTAACATAATTTGACAGTAAAACATCAATTAAAAATTTAAATAAATCACAATGTATCGAACTATTATCTAAATACCCATCAAGTATATAGATAAAACCACTAATCTCGAATTAATCAAATGAACAATTTTTAAAGAAAGTCACGTTTATAATAATCAATATGATTTAAATCATAGAATACTATATACTAGTAATATATAAAATGTTGTTCTTATAGAATATTTTAAAAAAGTGTCCCCTAGGGAGATAATCCTCATAGGTACACATAAAATTAAACTTTTTTTGACTAAAAGACAAAATTTTGTCAACTATAGTTCAGAGAACACAATTTTTTATTACAGTTACTCTTAAAATTTAGCGCACTAGGCAAATACCTGCCGTTTACACCGGTTAGCTTGTCCTGTCATAAAAATAGCTGACAGTTGTAGGATGACGTGGGGTAATTGTAAACGTATTTTGCAACCTTCTTTTTGAACGGCAATAAAAATATTTAAATTGAATTTTATAAAATGTCCATCCTTTAATTCTATTATAGTATGCCTTTCAAAGAGTATACAAAAAAAAATTTATTTTATTTATAAATAGCCTTAAAGTTTATTTAAAATTTCCTCTGCGAGTCTACAATATTTCCACTAATAAAACGTGAATAAGTATTATAAATGATATGGTATATATATATATAATATTCGTTTGAGTCAATAAATTAATAAATAGTATTTTGTTTCGTTTTTAATGTTTTTGTAATAGGTACTTATCTTTAAATTTATAAAAAAATAAAATTCATTTATCAATTTTGAAAGGATTGAAATAAATATCATCCAATTAATAAATGTTTATTGATTATCTTTTTTAACATTTCATTTTTGATTTCATAACGTTTTTATAATAAGCTTCAAAATTGTTAAACTAATCAATTTTTTTAATAAAAATGAATTAATTTACATTAATATTATAAAATTCGAGCATGTTTGTTTGTTTGACTTTTTTACAATTACCCCATCCTCCCTACACTATACTTAGTTTTTCTTGAAATAAATTAAATATTATGCTTTTCTATACAAATAAAAAAATAACGTATAATTATTATGAACTTGGTATTCAAGTGAAGTTTACTGTACTTTTTAATGACTTTTACATTTATTGAAACAAAAGGGTATATCAACATTTTAAATGATGTAATATCTTTTATGCCATTGGGTTATAATATTTATTTTTTTTTACATTTTACATTTTTTTTTATCTGAAAACATCGGTTATTAAAAAGTTTTTAAGAGCTATTATTTTTATTGAAGTTTTAAAATAATTTTTTTTTTTAATTTTTACATCAAAGTAAAGTTAAGAAAATATTTAATGTATTATTATAATACGTTGTCCTTTTTGACAACATTTAATATATAAACCATATAAAATGCATTAAATATTATGATATTAATCTTTATTATTTTTTAATTATACATAATTTAAATTAAATATTTGAGTGTTACTATAGTAAAGCTGTAGAAATCGATTTTATAATTTTAGTTTAGATAAAAATTGTTAAATTTATGTTGCAAACTTGATTCTAACCACATGGCTTCCGAATTTTTACTTAAACATAAAGAACCACTATGAGCTCGTTAGTGTAAAAAAGAATATTTTAATTCCCGCTTCTTCGTTTGATAACTTGTGATTTATGATAATCAGTTGTTTGAATTGTGTAAGCGGCGACTGTGAACAATTGTTTTAGTCAAGACAAGGCTGATGCACTTACGTTGTAAGTTATTCAACCACACTAAAAAAAAAATATACATGTAATGGTCGTATTGATTTTATTTTGCACGTGCTGGCTAGTTCTTGCAGTTAATTCAATCTAAAATTAAACATCTATTGCATTCATATGTTATAAAATCTAGAACAATTTTAAATTATTTTTAGTCTTACAATAAAAAAAAAAACTTTGTACATTCGGAAACTAGAACGTCAACAATAAAAATATACTTCATCTTATTTTATTACTTAAAGTGAACGAATGATTTTAAATATAGAAAAACCATTTAATACTTTGCTTGAGATAAATTTTTAAAAATAATTTTGACTTATACAATATTTTACGATAAATTATTGTAAGGAAGTGTGTCAAAAGTTTTTGTACTAGTGTTATTTTTGTATTTATAATTTAATGGCATATTTTTCTTATATAATTGTTTTTTTTTGTTTTGTCTCTACATTCCAAGTAAATACACGAATGTCTCGTCACGAAAATTCAGTCGTTTAATAAATTTTAAGTCCATCTGAATTGAATATTTAAATTAAAATGTTGTTCTTTGGTATGTTTTATACAAGTGCTACTACACCTCGAGTTTTACAAATTCATAAGGATAACTTTAAATTGTTTTAGTTATAATTTTAAATTAAAATAATATTATGATAATATTAATAATAAAATAATAATGTTGTGAAGTTATTCATCATCAATATTTTTCACGATTTCCCAGACACTTGTAAAAGTTTGAGTTAATAGCTCTTGTAATGATTTTACGTTGAGCATTTTTATAAAACTTTTTTCTTTGAGGGTAATACACCGACAGAAAAAAAAATCTCTGGGGCAATATATCTTTATTTTTAGACCGCTTATAAATTCTATTCTTTCATAAAAAAAGCATGTTTTATTTGGGAGTATGGAGTTGAATAAAAGTTTGACGGCACTGGTATAATTGGTATATGATGTTATTGATCCAGAACTATACTTAGTATCTACTTGAATAGGTTTTAACCGGCACAATGCAAAAAGTAATTTCATACGCCAGTTTAGAGTGATAAGCACAAACATACTGTTGTTCATAATGATACACCATAGAGATACAGAGAGCTTATTATGTGCACGGACCGTGAATCAGTTAAATACTAGCCGCTGTCTTGTTTTGTTAAATAAACCTAACCTTTCATCCAAACAATAATTAGCGTGCGTATCGATTTTGATAAGTTGTCCGTTATTGCGCTAAAAACAGCTAAGACAATAATGTTGTTAGGTAACAACACAAAACGGGAGTGATAATCTCAATAGTTTGCGCCTTACAAATAATTAGTTTTTATTATTGTTTTTCATTGAATGAAAGTACGTTGCCGGCAGTACTTTCCGCTGCGGACGTTAACACAAAACCATTGCCGCACAGCCTATATTTTATCACGGTTTTTTATTAGTGAGAAAATTCAAGACAAAACCCGGCTTTCCATTTTGTCGTTTCCTTAGTTTTTTGTCACTCTTTTACGTCACCGTAAATCGTTTTCTGTTGCAGTAACCAACCGACTGTCGACTCTGTGTTATTAAAATCGTGTACCAAGTGTTAATTTTATCGCCAGAAAATAAAATCTCTGAAATAGTAATTAATCATCGTCGTCAAATCAACTGGATAAAATGATCAGCTTTTGTTAGTAATCGCTATTGGTGACAACGCTGAGAAAGGTAAATTACCACAAATATTTATCCTAAAGGGTGCCGCCGAAGCGCATCTATATAGTCCTTATCTACTCGAGCAAACAATATAAATTGCTTATTTCGTGTTTCTTTAACTATAACGAAGAGAAAGATTCATTTTTATTGTACCAATTAATTTTTTACATATACACGTGTACATTTGAAAACAAATAACAAATTTATTGGTCCGAATGACCTAATTTTATCAACTTTATTGGTTATTACTTTTTCGTTGTACATAATGACTATTCTTTATCAGCCATTATAATTTAGAACATATATTTTTTTTAAGTGTTACAACATGTAAAAAAAATTATTTTTACAACCAGCATATTAGTGGTAAAGGTCATAATCTCGTTACCTATTCGTTTTAATTAATTTAGATAATATAAATACCGTTGTAAAACTAGAGTTGTTAGTGAAAAACATGTATTTTTATTATAACAAAAAAAAAAAAAAACATGGAGCTTAATTAGAAAATAGTAACAATAAACTTGAGAGTAAAACTCAATATTTCTTATCTTGTTCAGTGAATAGGAAAATATTTACTGTTGATATCGAAAATTGAAATTACTTGTTTACAGTTTATTTAGTACCGACAATGATCCATTCAAAATACATGACTATAAAAATATCCTGACGTACATTGTCGTCCATTGAAATAATAAGTTTTTGCTGTGTTTTATAGTATTAAATTAGTCAATTATGTATTTCGTTTATTAAATGCTGTATAATGTAATAGTCTGTTGTCTATAACATTTGTTGAGATTCTTTATCGCACACAATAAAATGGTAGCCAGCAAAACCCTTGAATAATTCTGTTTTTTGTTTACAAAATTATTATTTTGTTTTCTAAATAGTTGATGACTCAAAAATATTCTATAAAAGAAAAGGGTTGAACGATTAAATTTACAAAATAATGTTGTAAAATATAGTTTATATATATTTATTTAAATTATAAATAGAAGTTATTTAAATGTAGATTACAATTTGTAACACTTTGATACTTGTTAATAATGCAATAAATAATAATAATTAGATTCGATACATTTAGTTAAAAAAAAAAAGGTTCTTGAACTGTTTCGAGAACGGATTTGTTTATTTTGTACTCCTGTTATTTTAACCCTCAGACAAAATATTATATTAAAAAAATGCCTATTACAATTCCTGGAAAATAAAATAATGTGTAGAAAAGTTGTATTTATTATTAGACTTTCATCAATGTAAACTAATACATTAATAAAAATCGAATATTAAACTAAAAATGTTTTATTGTTAGATTGTTTTTGAAAATGGGTGTATATGTTGTTGAAATATTATCAGTATAAAGTAAAAAAATAAAAACGATTAATGGTATTGATACTATTTATCCATATCTTATGTAATTATGTTTTAAACATACTTAATTAATTGTAACTAAAGTATTAATCAGCAAAGCGATTAGGCTTTAGTGTTTTCGTTGAATCATAATCTATATGTTAAACAACAATTGCTTTTTGCAGTATAATACAAGGATTGAATGGGTTTCATAACCCTTGTTGAACTTTTTTCGATATTGCTATTGCGTTTATGTCATAATAATAGGATTTTCAAGTATCATTTTGATATAAAACATCTAGTATAGGATCCAAATATGACAATAGAAATATATGCAACTATGAAATTTCATTTTTTATTTATGTTTCACTATTTTTAAAAAATTTTAATAGATGCTGCGTTGACTAATGGAACATGTGTTGTGCAAGTTTTAAACAAGATGATCAAACATCTATTTTTAAACAATATCATACGAAATTTTACTTTTTTTTATTGCAAATTTATTATTTATGTTTTATTAGTACACTCATTAATAAAGATTCATGTATGAACAAATTATTTTTAAATACAGTCAAATGGGTCTACTTGGATTTGTGATTAAATTAGTGACAGTAACACTAGTAAAAGTTTTGCATGTATTGTTAAGATACATAAAATATTTATTCAAAAAAATGAACTGATGAAATCTGTAAAATATTAAACGGCCTAAGTTTCACTACCGCTTCAAGCGGTCCGCTTGTTGGATTTGGTTGGCCCATTTGACTGTACTTTAGAAGATTTACACTGAGGTAATGAATTGACATTGAACAAATAACTGAAATAATTTAATTATTACTCTTTTAATAATTCAATACTTATTTTAATTGAGATCATTATAATGTTACTATTGAAAATTTCATTGTGTTTGTAGTTATTAAAAGATTTTAGACTTGTTTTAATATAAGAGAAAAAATTGTTTCTACTAAAGAATTGTTCACTTCTTTGTGGTGTTTTTACGTAAAGAATTGTTATTATTTATATTAATCACTGCCTCTAAAATACAATCCAAACTGTGCGAATATAAAAAATAATGGCAACCAATAAATGAGTTTTGTACACTGTGCATATTACACTTTTTATCTGTTACTATTTAAGCTATAAAAATTGTCTCGATAAGTACACTATAAAAAAACTTTTTAGCAAAATAATTTTCAACTCTAGATTTGAAGAGAAAAGTTTCGAGAAAAGAATCGAAACTTTATTACGGGTTACAGTAAAAGCAATATTTTAACACGTTGCTTTTCTCACCTTTGCAACGGTTGTCCTGTTTATAGTCGAGTAATTCATTTAACAAAAATTTCTACTGTCTAATAACTTAAAGAAGATTGTTATTCTTCACAATTTGATGTTTTTGTTAAAAATATAATAGTTTATATTAATTTGAAGTTACAAACTTTTTGAAATATAGTTACTTTTTTATAATACTATTTTTCTTTTTTATATGATTTTATTTATATGGAAACTAGTCAATAATTATTGACTATAAATTATAATTTATTTCTTGATTATATTAATGATTTAGATTTTAGTATTTTTGTGCAATAAAATAAAACACATTTAATCGTGTCAACAATGTTTATAGGTTCAATGTCTTATATTATTCTTTATCATATACGAATATATTTTCTTTAATTTTAGAAAATTCTGGATGAAATTAATCTTATAATTGATAAAAATTTGTTTATTCATTTTATTTGAACTTAAAAGTTCAATTTTTTTGTATGACTACTAGTAATTTAATTTTATAGCTAAAATAACATTGTTTTATTATTAATTGTTTATTTATATACTGGAATTTATTAAATTATTTAAAAGAAAGGTAACCGACACGAAGGTGGTTCGTTGATTGTGTAGTATAATGTATTTTAATTAAACAAATTAATCACTAATAGTAATAATATTACTATATACAGAGTGATTTTTTTATCATAACCCACTCAATTACTTGCAGAATAATAATAATTTAAACATTTTTTTTTTTATTATTTTTAGTTACACATTATTCTTGAATTTTTAACTATGTAATACTTTTTAAGTTCATCCCTTATGCCTTGGAGGGGGGTCAACTTTGTTTTTTTAAATGGTAACACATATTTTTAATTTAATAAAATGTTTGAGTTTTTAATTTAATAGTAAATGGCATTTGAATTTTTAATATAACTTTATTAGCTTATTAGATATAAACATTTAAAGTTTCAAAATTTTGAGTTAATATACATGTATAATACACATGGGATTGTAAATACAGGTAGCTAATTGGATTTTTATGACATTGCTGTCTCAGTCACGGATTGTTTATTATCAATTATGATTATCAATAGATATACTTTCTGTATTGTCAGTTAGTGTATTTATAAACTCATAACAATGTGCCTTACTACAATTGATAATAACAATGCTGTGTACCTGCTAATATCGATGTTATAAAAAACCAATTAGCTACCTGTATTTGTAATCCCTTGTGTATTATACCTGTATATTAATTCAAAAATTTGAAACTTTAAATGATTATATCTAATAAACGAATTAAGTTATATTAAAAATTCAAATGCCATTTACTATTAAATTAAAAACTCAAACATTTTATTAAATTAAAAATATGTGTTACCATTTAAAAAAACAAAGTTGACCCCCCTCCAAGGCATAAGGGATGAACTTAAAAAGTATTACATAGTTAAAAATTCAAGAATAATGTGTAACTAAAAATAATAAAAAAAAAAAATGTTTATATTATTATAATTCTGCAAGTAATTGAGTGGGTTATGATAAAAAAATCACTCTGTATATATAAATAATTTTATATAAAAATGCATATAATTTTACTAAATATTTGGGGGGTGGTTAAGTCCATCTAGACCCCTAACCTGCGCCAATACATGTATATGTACTAGGTGGTCGTGATTTTGTTTTAAAAAAAAAAACGATCTCACTAAGGTGTCGAAGATGACTTGGAAAGTATTTCGGTGGACGGCTGTCGGTCATTAATGGATTTAGTACTACTGATTATGTGTACTCGGTGATAATTATTCAAACTACCATATATTAATCAAAGAGGGTGGTGGTTAACAAAGGTGGCGTGTTGTGGTGTTTCGTATATACCGGAGAGCCAGGAAAACTTATGTTATTTTCTGAAGTATTTATAGAAAATATAAAGATGGTTTTTTCACTTTTTTTAGTTTCTCATGGTCGCTTTTGGCACAAATATTTCTTGGTGCGCTTGTTTAACCCACTGTATTATATCAACAAACCATTAAATACAAATCAACTAATCCGTGATAATGATTAAAATGATAATTTTCTCCTTCAAGTCCTATTTTATTTTGTGATAACTAGTCATTATTTTATATAATGACATAAAATTTACATAAATTATTTGTTTTAGCTATGTCTGGCAGAAACCCTTTAATATACGTAATAGAAAATAAATAAATATAAATGTTTTTAAGTATAAATATTGTGTATAAAAAATTGAAAACAATTATTTTATCGAATGGTTTGTAAAATATAATGTACAACTCTCAAGAGACGTCAATACTTAATAATACTTGAGGTTAGATTATATCAAACTTTTCTTTGTACAAACTAATAATCATTAAAAACTACATAGAATAATATTGAACTTCGATACTAGA